CGAACATGGGGGTACATATATTCTTTCTGATTGGTGTTTCAGGCTTCTTAGGGTATATTCCTAGAAGTGGGATCACTGGGTCAAATGGAAGTTCAATTTTTAATTTTTTGAGGTAATACCATAGTGTTTTCCATAGTGGCTGCACCAGTCTGCATTCCCACCAGCAGTGTACTAGAATCCCCTTTTCTCCACACCCTCGCCAACACTTGTTGTTTGATGATTTGTTGATGGCGGTTATTCTGACAGGTGTGAGGTGATACCTCATTGTTGTTTGAATTTGCTTCTCTCTGATGATTAGTGATGTTGAGCATTTCTTCACATGTCTCTTGGCCATTTGTATGTCCTCTCTGGAGAGGTGTCTAATCAGCTCCTCTGCCCATTTTTTAATTGGGTTGTTTGTCTTCCTTTTGAGGAGTTGTATGAGTACTGTATGTATTTTGGACATTAACCCCTTATCTGATATATCACTGGCAATTATGCTCTCCCATAGAGTGGGTTGCCTTTCCATTTTGATGGTTGTTTCTTTTGCTGTGCAGAAGCTTTTGAGTTTGATGTAGTCCCATGTGTTCATTTTCTCCTTTGTTTCTGTTGCCTTAGGTGATGTATCAGTGAAAATTCTGCTGCGTATAATGTCCAAAATTTTGTTGCCTACAGTCTTTTCTAGGATTTTTATGGATTCATGAGTCACATTTAAGTCTTTTATCCATTTTGAGTTTATTCTCATGTAGGGTGTGAGTTCATGGTCTAGTTTCATTTTTCTGCAAGTAGCTGTCCAGTTTTCCCAGCACCATTTATTAAAGAGGCTGTCTTTACTCCATTGTATGCTCTTGCCTCCTTTGTCAAATATTGATTGAGCATAATGTCTTGGGTCCATATCTGCGTTCTCTATTCTGTTCCACTGGTCTATATGCCTGTTCTTGTGCCAGTACCAGGCTGTTTTGATTAGAGTAGCTTTGTAGTATAACCTGATATCTGGTATTGTGATCCCACCTACTTTATCCTTCTTTTTCAAGGTCGCTGTGGCTATTCGGGGTCTTTTTTGGTTTCATATGAACTTTTGAAGTATTTGTTCTAGTTCTGTGAAGTATGTCGTTGGTATTTTGATAGGGATTGCATTGAATCTGTAGATTGCTTTGGGTAGTATGGACATTTTAATGATGTTAATTCTTCCAATCCATGAACAAGGTATGTGCTTCCACTTTTTTATATCTTCCTCTATTTCTTTTTTCAATGACCCGTAGTTTTCTGCAAATAGGTCTTTTATTCCTTTGGTTACATTTATTCCTAGGTATCTTAATTTTTTTGCTGTGATGGTAAATGGGATTGTTTTTTCAGTTTCTCTTTCTGTGAGTTCAGCATTGGTGTATAAGAATGCCGTCGGTTTCTTGACGTTAATTTTGTATCCTTCTACTTTGTCAAACTCATTTATTAACTCAAGTAGATTTTTGATGGAGTCTTTGGGGTTTTCTATGTATAATATCATGTCATCTGCAAATAATGACAGTTTCACTTCCTCCTTTCCAATTTGGATCCCTTTTATTTTTTCTTTCTGTTTGATTGCTGTGGCTAAGACTTCCAGTACCATGTTAAATAAGAGTGGTGAAAATGGGCATCCCTGTCTTGTTCCTGTTCTTAAGGGAAATGCCTTTAGTTTTTGCCCATTGAGTATGATGTTGGCTGTAGGTCTTTCATATATGGCCTTTAGTATGTCAAAATATGTATGATCCCTTGATTCCCACATTGCTGAGTGTTTTTATCAGAAATGGATGCTGGATTTTGTTGAATGCTTTTTCTGCATCTATTGATATGATCATGTGGTTTTTATTCTTTCTTTTTATTTATGTGGTGTATCGCATATATTGATTTGCGATTATTGTACAGTCTTGCATCCCTGGGATGAATCCCACTTGGTCATGGTGAATAATTTTTTTGATGTATTGCTGAATCCGATTTGCTAGTATTTTGTTCAGGATTTTGGCATATATGTTCATCAGGGATAATGGCTTGTAGTTTTCTTTCTTTGTAGGGTCTTTTTCTGGTTTTGGAATTAGAATTATGCTGGCCTCATAAAACGAGTTTGGAAGTCTTCCTTCTTCTTGAATTTTTTGAAATAGTTTGAGGAGAATGGGTGTTAGTTTTTTTTTTGAATGTTCGGTAAAACTCCCCCGTGAAGCCATCCGGGCCTGGGCTTTTGTTTGCTGGGAGAGTCTTGATTACGTCTTCAATTTCCTTAGTTGTTATTGGTCTGTTCAAGTTTTCTATCTCTTCCCAGTCCAGTTCTGGGAGACTGTGTGTTTCTAGAAATTTGTCCATGTTGCTTAGATTGTTGAATTTGTTGCCATATAATTGTTCATAGTAGTTGTTAAAGATCTTGGGTATTTCTGTGGTGTCAGCTGTTATTTCTCCTCTTTCATTTCTGATTTTGTGTATTTGGGTTCTCTCTCTTTGCTTCTTGTTGAGTCTAGCTAAGGGTCCATCGAGCTTATTTCTCTTTTTGAAAAACCAGCTCTTTGTTTCATTGATCCTTTGAATGTTCTTTTTGTTTGTTTGTTTTGTTTTGTTTTTGGTCTCTATGTCATTTATTTGTGCTCTGATCTTTACTATTTCCTTCCTTCTACTTGCTCTGGAGTTTTCTTTTTGTTTGCTTTCTAGTTTTTTAAGTTGTGAGGTTATAGTCTATTAGAAATTATTCTTGCTTCTGGAGGTAGGCCTGTAGTGCTATGAACTTCCCTCTCAGAACTGCTTTTGCTGCATCCCATAGATTTTGTGTTGTTGTATGTTCATTTACATTGGTTTCCAGGAAGTTTTTCATTTCTTCCTTGATCTCCTCGGTAATCCATTCATTGTTTAATAACATGCTATTTAGCCTCCATGTGTTCCAATGTCTTTGCATGTTCTTGTTGCAATTGATTTCTAGTTTCATGCCATTGTGATCTGAGAAGATGCTTGATATGATTTCAAACTACTTGAACTTGTGGAGATTTAGTTTGTGTCCTAACATATGGTCTACCTTTGAGAATGTCCCATGTGCACTTGAGGGGTGTAATTCTGTGTAGATATCTATTAAATTCATTTGGTGTAGTGCTTCATTTAGAGTCTCTCTTTCCTCGCTAATTTTTTGTCTAGAGGATCTATCCAGTGATGTCAGTGGGGTGTTGAAGTCCCCTGCTATGATTGTATTGCTGTCGATTTCTCCTCTAAAGTCCTCCAGGAGACTTTAAATATATTTTGGTGATCCTATATTGGGTGCATATAGGTTTACCAAGGTTATATCTTCCTTTCAATATTATGTAGTGGCCTTTTTTTTGTCTCTAGTTATGACCTTTATTTCTAAATCTCTTTTATCAGGTATGAGTATTGCTACCCCAGCTTTTTTTTTTTTTTCTTTCCGTTTGCTTGGAAGATTTTTTTCCATCCCTTCACTTTCAACCTATGTGAGTCTTTTGTTGTGAGGTTCGTCTCCTATAAACAACATATATGTGAGTCATGCTTTCTTATCCATTCAGCTACTCTGTGTCTTTTTATTGGAGCATTAAATCCATTTACATTTAAGGTGATTATTGATATGTACTTATTTATTGCCATTTTTGTTTAGTGTGGTTATATTTTTCTTCTTATTTCTTCTACTAATTGCAGCAGTCTTTTTAACATTTCTTGCAATGCTGGTTTGGTGCTAATGTATTCCCTTAGCCTTTTTTTTTTTTTTTTTTTTTTTTTTGTCTGGGAAGCTCTTTATATGACCTTCTATTTTGAATGATAGCCTTGCTGGGTAGAGTAGTCTTGGATTGAGATCCTTGTTTTTCATGACCTTGATTACTTCCTGCCATTGCCTTCTGGCCTGTAATGTTTCTGTTGAGAAGTCAGCTGACTGCCTTATGGGGGTTCTTTTGTAGGTAACCTGTTGCTTATCTCTTGATGCCTTTAGGATTCTCTCTTTGTGTTTAATTTTTGGCATTTTAATTCCTATGTGTCTTGGTGTGGGCCTGTTTGGCTTCTTCTTACTTTGGGCTCTCTGTGCTTCTTGAACTTGAATGCCTTCTTCTTCCACCAAATTAGGGAATTTTTCTGTCACTTTTTCTTCAAATATATTTTCTAACACTTGCCCATTTTTTTCATCTTCGGGGATTCCTATGATGTGAATGTTATTATGTTTCCAGTTGTCCCACAGTTCTCTTAAGCTGTCTTCCTGTTTTTTAATTGTTTTTACCTTAGGTTTTCTGAATGGTTGATTTTTTCTACCATGTCTTGTATTTCACTGATTCAATCCTCAGCTTCTTCTACTCTGCTGTTTAGACCTTCCAATGTGTTCTTTATTTCTGATATGTCATTCTTCATTTCTTCTTTGTGATTTTTAATTTCCAATTGGTTGATTTTCAACATTTCTATATCTTTCCTCATGCTGTTGAGCTTCCTCAAGATCATGGCTCTGAATTCTAGCTCTGTTAACTTGCTTAACTGCATTTCATTTATCTCATCTTTGGTGTGGTCTCTTGTTCCGTCATTTCGGATTTGTTTCTTTGTTTCACCATTTTGGCTATCTCAGTGGGCTTTGGAGCCTGCCAAATTTTCCCTGTGGGTTTTGGTGTTTTGCTGTTTGTGGCTCCCTCTACTGTGTTTGAATGAGCAATGGAGGACCAACATTAAACACCACTGTGAAGTCTTACTTTCCTCGGTAGAGTTGCAAGCCCAGGAATGGTTCAGTGATCCTCTAGCTCTTTGCCTGGAGGCTATTAGTAGGGGTTGCTTGAAGAGCCTTGGGTTCTCAGTTGAATAAAAAAGTCCCTCAGGTGTTCAGTGTAAGGGGATTTCCCCGAGGGTGGGGCAGATGCTGGGTGTTAATGGGCCTCAATTTGCATTTCAGTGGCCCACCTGGTTGGGGTTGAATCTCCAAGGGAAGGGCTGCTACTTTTCACCAGAGTTCTGGGAAGGAGCAAACTGTCCACCATCATTTGTGGCCACAACTCAGCAAAAGCTCTGAGTGCCCTTCAAATCCCGAGTGTCCTCACACAGTTCCTATCCAGTCTACCCTCCCTCTGCAGGAGCCCAAGGTGAGTGGCTGTGGCTATTTTAGTGCTCTGTCCTGGCTCTCTGGTCTGTGGATTCTCTTGGGAGTTTAAACCCGAGGGCTCTGCTCACAGCTAAGACCGCTGCTGTCTGTGGGCTCCCAGCCCTCCTTTCACACCACCGCAATCCTACCAGGATTGATTCAGTGTCCCTGGTTATATGGTCCTTGCAAGCTGCTTTCTTGTTGCTTTTTCCCAACAATTTGTCTTTACTTTAGTTTTAATTCCAGTTTTGTCCTGGGAGATGGTCTGTGTAGCTTCTATTCACTCCACTGCCACTTTGGAATCTCTTTATAAGTATTTTTAAATGAAGTTCTAAAGTCTAAGGACTTTGTCATGTTATTTCAGGGTGCCTTTGTTCAAAAGTGACAGATGACTTCACAAAAATGTGCTTAAACAATGAGAAAGGTTGGGTATAGTGATGGTGAAGTCAGGGGCTCAACAACATGGCAACTCTAGTTCCACTTCTTTAATAATCTTTTGTGTTTCCCTCATGGTTCCAAGAGGATTGTGGCAATTCTGGGTGTTATATGCAGGTGACAATGCCCAGAAATAGGAAAAAAAGGTACCTTTTCATTAGGAAAGCAAACTTTCCCAGAGACCCGCGTTGGGTATTTCTCAGATCTCGTTGGCCAGTATTGTGTTACCTGACAATGTCTAAGCCAGTCACTTGCAAGAGAAAGGCTAGAACCATGATTGGCTTAGACCAAAACGTATTTCTCCTTTGGTTTTGGCTTCCTCTGCAGCACATAGCTTCTTATTGAAGAGTTAAAAAAATTATGTGTTCTTGGTATGAAGAAGGAAAAGATCAAATGGCCATTGGCTGAGTAATCCGTAGTGTCTGCCATAGTGCTCTGTTCCTTAGTACTAATTTTGAATGGAGCAAAAGAGAAGGAAACACTTTTGCTAACATAAGTCATAGGAGAAGGGACTTTTGAAATGTCACAAAGTCTGACTCCTGAACAGTTGGGAAAGAAGTTGATGGTCGCTAGAGAGGGTGAAACAAAGAATAATGGCTCAAACATGAGGGAATTAAGCATAAGACATTGTGTAGAAGAGGGGAAGGGTGAATGTAATGCAGAAAAGAGATTAAGCATGAAGCACAAGGATTCAATAAGAATATGATTCCAGAGGAGAATACCAAATGCCTTCCACGTTGCATTCAGCAAAATGGCAGAAGAGAGACTCTGAAGGTGAGTGGGATGGACAAGGGGCAAGAGAGGTGGACCAATGCATTGAGAAGCTCCTCTGTGCCTAGCACGGGCTGCCTATGTAGAGCAAATGCTGTGATGCCCTGCTTATGGTCCACAGTCCTTTCAGTGTGCTCTGGCCCACTTTAAAATGCCAGTGTCTACTATATGTTCCTGAGGGGTCATTTCCTCCCCCTCCCACTCTCATGACTGTGGAAACTTGGGAGACTTAACACCCTCCTAGAGTAGCCCTCAACTAATGGCTCTCAGGAATTGGTATATAAATATCCTATTTCCCTCAACTCCTTTTTGGGATAATTCTGAGCTGAGGGCTTTACACAGTTTCCCTGAGGGTGAGTTTTTAGTTGCTCACTGGTAGCCAGCTTAATAGCTCAACCTTTATTGACTGTCTTCCCTTCCTTGCTTCATTTCTCCCACTTCCCTAGCAGTCTTGTCTGCACCTCCAAATAAGTTAGTTCCTCCCCAAAAGCCTGGTATCATGATCTGCTTTAAATACATTGTTTTGTCCAATCACTACAACAACCTTAAGGGTGGTAGGTATTATCAGCTCTAATGAATAGGTGAGGTAACAGACAGGGAGGTCAAGTGACCTTCTCAAGTTCATTCAGCCGATAAATGGCAAGAGCTCAGAATGAAATAAGGTCTGTGTGGTGAAAGCCCATGCTTTTCCCCTAATAACAGTTTGTATCTTGGTGATATTAAAGAAGACACTGATGCAAAGACTGGAGGGCCTGGATAAAGCCAATAACTGTGGGGTTGCTGCACCACTTTTTCATAGCTTGCCCTAGGTGGCAGCTGGTTGCTTTAGGATTTCCATCTATCAGGTCTTTCCAGGCTAAAGCTCAAGGAGCTGATGCAACATACCTGCTTATGAGCATGGTGAGATGAAGCAGATCAAAGACCGTAATCATCCACAGTGAATCAGGGAATCCGTAGAAAACATGGACCCTGGCTTGAAATTCCAGTTGGAATCAGAACTGATATGAGAACTCGAGGTCTGTCTGACCATTGGCTAGAGCTCTAAGTATATGGAAGAACTTTCCAGGCAAGAACTTCACAAGTGATATACTTCATATATGGCTGAGCTATTGAGACAGTATGATGGACAGGTTAGAAGATGGATTTTGGAGTCGGATGTGTCTGGACCAGAATCTTCTTCTACCACTGTCTAAGTGTATAGCATGCCAGCACCTTCCCACCTCAAGAGTCTGAATGTCCATTTCTTTCCTGTGAGAACTCTCTGATACCACTGAACTCTGCTTAGCCACAAGTAGGTACCATCCAGAATTGTGGGTGAGTTAATTGCCCTCAACCAATGAGTAGTAGTAGTCAGTATAAATGCTGAAGTCTCTTCATCCTCTAGTAGGATGATTCTGAGGCATGTTCCACCTAGTTTATCAAAGGATCCCCAGCAGTGTTGAACTTCAGTTGCCCAGAGCTGTAACCCAGTCATTAATGAGCTCATTTATTGGTTTTTGTCCTTTCCCCATGTCACTATCGCCAAGTTGCTTAATTTTCTTAATCCTGTGAAATTAGAATCACATAAGCATAGGGGCGTTATGAGGATTAAATGAGCTTCTATCTGTAGAGTGGTCTGTACATAATAAACATCCAATAGGAATATGGTCGTTAAATTATTGATCCCTTCGTTTTTGCCTTTAGGCTCCATCCCTGCAGTTCCAGTTTCTCCACTAGGTGGCAGAATATCAACAGTCATCATCCATGCCTCTTAGAAAGAGTAAGTAAAATAAGTAAATTAGAGACCCTGAGGGACTATGGTCAGTGTGATATGAGAAGGGCAAGCCTGCGATTAAAACCCAATCCAAATAAAGAAAGCAGTGCCCTGAAATTCCAGCCTCAGTCAGATCAGTGTCTGATTCAAGGCTTTGAAAGGTAGAGACTGTTGGATGATTCCCAAAGCAACATGGGGAACCTGTATGAGAGAAGCAGGTGGAGTCTGCAAGAAATTACTGGGTGCTATTTTCCCATGCCTGGGGTAATTCTAAGTCATGGGAGATGACTAGGAGGTGGAAGAATGGCAAGGAGCCAGGGAAAAACCAAACAATCACCTGAACAAAAGCAGATCTTGATAAGAGTCAGCATGATCCTGTAGTCAGCTTTGGAACAAAATCTTTCAGGATTATATGGTATTCCTTTTGGCAAGATATTTGCATCATTGGACAAAGCATATCAGCTGAGGATTAATCAACTCTGTGGTTAAAGGGCGGGGAGAATGGGGTATTTGTCTACTGGCTCCAATCCCTCATTGGTTGAGGGTCATTACCCTAGGTCATTAATTTCACCATTCTTTTTTTAAATCCTCACCTGAGGACACTTTTTTTTTTTGCATAGATCTTCAGATAGAGTGGGAGGGAGAGAGGGGGTAAGAGAGACAGAGAGAAACATCAATGTGAGAGAGACACATTGACTGGTTGCCACCTGCAGGACCCCTACCGGGGCCAGGGACAAACCACAACTGTGGTAGTGCCCTTAGTGGGAACCAAACCCGGGTCTCTCTGGTCTACGGGCCAACACTCTAACCACTGAGCAAACCTGGCCAGGGCAATTTCACCATTCTTGCAAGAAGTTAAGATTCAGGCATTTGAAGTAGGAAGCTATTAGCATGTTAGAAACTGTCTACCATATCTGCTGATGAACTCAAGTGGGCAAACAACATGTGGTATGGGGGCATCAACAATGACTGCTTCTCAGATTTTAGTGTATATACAAGTCACCTGGGGATCTTGGTGAAATGCAGATTTTGATTCTGTAGGTCTTGGGTGATGCCCGAGATTCTGCATTTTTTTCTTTCAATTTTATTTTATATTGGTTTCAGGTGTACAGCTTAGTGGTTAGATAATCATATACTTTACATAGTGTTCCCTCCATATTTCTGGTACCTAACTGGCACCATATGCAGTTATCACAATATTATTGATTATATTCCCTATACTTTACTTACATCCCCATGACTATTTTGTAACTATCCATTTTGCTTCTTATTCCATTCACCTCTTTCACTGAGTTCCCCAATGCCCCTCCCCTCTGGCAACCACCAGTTTGCTCTCTGTGTCTATGAGTCAGTTTCAATTTTGTTTGTTTATTTTGTTCTTTAGATTCCACATATAAATCAAATCATATGGTATTTGTCTTTCTCTGTCTGACTTATTTCACTGAGCATAATATCCTCTAGGTCCATCCATGCTGTCACAAATGGTAAGATTTCCTTCTTTTTTATAGCCAAGCAGTATCCATTGTATAAGTGTACCACAGCTTTTTTATCCATTCATCTATTGATGGGCACTGGGGTTGCTTCCATAGCTTTTGTAAATAATGCTGCAATGACCATGATGGGGCATATCTTCTTTCCATTTAGTGTTTCTTGGGTTATATACCTAGACATGGAATTGCTGGCTCATAAGGCAGTTCCATTTTTAATTTTGGGGGGAAAGTCTATATTGTTTTTCATAGTAGCTGCCATCAGTCTGCATTCTCACCAGCAGTGCATGAGAGAATCGGCATTTTTAACAGGCTCCCAGATGATGTTGAAGCTGCTGGTGCACTGATCACATTTTTTTGAGAAGCAAAGCACAATTCTTTAAGCCAATCCTGCTATTTCTTTCATCATCCCACATCATTATTAACTCCAAATAACACTGGATGCACCAGAGTCCCTGAGCTTTGGTCTTTCTCTGGACTTCAGTGTCTTCATCTTCAAAATGGGGGACTTGGAGTAGAGAAGCTAACTTGGGTGGTGGATGGAGTGAAGAGAGGAGGGAGGAGTTTTTAAATAGAATTTCAATATTTAGAAGACACTGAGATTTAAAAAAAATAAAACTTCAAAACAGCAAAGTAAAAACAAATTTTCTGGGCTAGCCAAGATCCACAGATGATAACTCTGTTTTCCTAAAAGATCCATATCTCCTGGCATTGGGGGGATAATATTGTAGTTTCCTGAGGGGTGGCCTAGAAATTTTTTGTTTTTATAAGAAGGGGGTTATTGGTTTTAAAAGTTTGAGAAAGCACTTGATTTGATTATCTGTGAGACCTCATCCAGGTCTAATATCTTTCCACTGAATGTTATATAAATCTATTACATTATTATATTAACTTATGTCTGTCTTCTCTACTGGCCTGGAAGCTTGTTTAGCCAGGGATTTATCTCTGTATTTATCACCTACTCTAGTGCCTGGCACACAGTAGATCTTAGTAAATCCTTGAATACAAGAATGAATCTATGTATTTCTTCCTGGTCTAAAAAAATCGTGACACCATGAGGCTGAACCACACACTGGCTTTTGGAAAGGGTCTTTTAAGATATTTTTTGACTGATGTGGTACTAACTCCTTTGAAGTTTTATTGTAACAAAGTTCTAGCCACATACAACCCCATGTCCAGTATTTAATAACCCTATAAATTAATGTGAGCTGTTCCAGAGCATATACCATTTAGTGACATCCCAATGATGACTCTTTGGCTGGAGAATTGTTTGAAAATGGTGCTTTGGAGTAAGAAACATCTGCCCTGGTTTGCCGTGGATGAGGAGTTTGTGGAGTACATTCTGATGGGCTCTGCCTGATTGAACTTGCCAGGGAGAGGCGGAGGCACCACTAATTACATGTCTTGCATTATGGGTTGGAAATAGATACACAGAGCAAATGCTCTGGCCCACAAAGCCTCAAAAAATGACGAAAGCAGCATAGACTTCAACTTCATTTAAAAATATTCCCAGCATTGCAAAGCACAGCCAACCATACAATTTTTCCTCTTTTTCACGTGGCACTTAAGACACAGAAGAATGAATTAACAGAGGATCTGGAAATCTACTTGAAAATTCAGAAAAAAAATAGCAAAAAAGAAAAGAAAAGGAAAAGATATAGACAGTGACATTGTTAATATGTGATTTTCACTGGAGGTATTAATTAGTAACTCCCTCGGGCCCTTGATATGCTTCAAACAGGTCAGCACCATTGCTTGACTTATACAAACTTGATTGCACTCAGTTAAATTGCTCTTCTTCAAATAGGTCTTAGATATACAATGCCCAAAGAGACCTTCCTAAAAAGGAGGAAAGTAGCAGAAGCAAGCAAAATGAGAGGCCCAAGTGGGCAATAAGTGGGAGCCAGGAGGAGCCACGCCTGGGCTCAAAAGATGAATTCTGTAATTATAGGCAGCCCATTATGATAAAATTTGGTAGAGTTTGGACAATAGCAAGCACAAACAAACAAACAAACAAACATAAAAAACAACCATCAGTGGGATGTAGGTGAACAGTGGGTAAATATGCCACAGGTGAACTGTGGCATAAATATTTGAACTACACTTACTTTTTTTTTTTGGTACATGCCCCTAGCGGGACCCAAACCCAGGACTCTGGTCCGCAGGCTGATGCTCCAACCGCTGAGCCAAACCGGCCAGGGTCGGACTACACTTTCTAACCCCTCTTGCAATTCGGTATGACCATATGGTTGAGTTCTAGCCAGTAGAATTTGAGCACAGGTGAGGTGCTCTGTTTTCAGGACAGGTATATAAATACTGCCAGCACATGACCTTTCATGCTTTTCACCATTACAGCTTAACACAGATAAAAAGGGTGACTTTGGAAGCTGTATGCTGAATATAGCAGAGCCTCAAGATGGAAGAAGCATGGGTCACTAATGCTTGGAGGAGAGCCACCTGTCAATCAGGACTTTATGTGAGTGATGATAAGCCTTTATTATCTAAATGTGTTGAGATATTGGGGTTTATCTGTTATAGTAGCTTTTATTGCCTTCATTAAATATATAGTCTTTGGCTGTATTAATAGAGGGATTGTAGAAAGAACAAAGGAGGGTTTTACTGTTCTTTCCTAGACATTACCCTGTAAGAGGGATTTTGTCAATTGGAACATGTGCATAAATGAAATATAAGAGTGATGAGGAGGTGGAAAATGATACATTGGGGAGGATAAAAGCAAAGGTGTTCAGCTTCAAGAAGAGAAAACTTGGTGTGGAGTAAGAATATACAACATCTGTCTGTAAAATTTTGAAAGTATGTCACAAGGAAGTGGAGTGCCAGAAAGAAAAGCTAGGAGCAAGGTTTGGGTTCAATATAAAGAAGAACTTTATAATAATTACAACAGCCCCAAAGTGGAATGACCTTTCTTACCAGGTAAAGCCTTCACATGTTATTTTATTATTTTATTTTATTTTAAATATGTTTTTATTGATTTTTAGAGAGAGAGGAAGGGAGAGGGAGAGAGGATAGAAACATCAATGAGAGATACATTGATCAGCCTCCTGCACGCCCCCTACTGGGGATTGAACCTGCAACCTGGGCACTGAGCCTGCAACCTGGACATGTGCCCTGACTGGGATCAAACTGGCACCTCTCAGTCCATGGGATGATGCTCAATCCACTGACCCACACCAGCCAAGCAAGCCTTCTCCATCTTTAGTACATGCTGTTGATTGACCACTCAGTATCCATTTACCCCCTTCTTGACTACAGGACCCTAATTTTGTTGAAGTATCATCTTTATGTGATTACGGGAGAAGGACCCCATCCCCAGCTCCAGGAATGGATCCTGATCACTCTAAGCCATTCAGCATATGGCATTCTCTTAGTAGCTCTTACTGGTCTAGAGATTGGTACATACATTAAGCTGACCCAATAACACTTAAAGAAAGCTCTTTCTTGATTTCATGGTTGAGGGAGAGATTTTTCTCTCTCTCCTGCTGGACCTGCATTAGGACTCATTAGTCTTGACTCTCACAGGCAGCCATCTTGTTGCCATAAGGGGAACTAGCCTTAAGATGAAACCACCACTGAGGATGGCAGAGCAAAGACATGAAAATTACCTGTCAATTAAGCTGCTGATTATCCTATGCCTGAAGGCTCCTCTGCCTCTGGATTTAATTCTAAGTTGGGTTTTCTATTGTGTCTATGTTAAAATATCCTAGTTGACACACTGCTTCTGAGGAGGTTTGGAAATATAGGTTGAATACTGCCTTGTTATCAGTGATGTCAAAGGGGAGTTCAAGCCTGGGCAGCAGGTGGACCTCTCGGAATAATATACAACCCCAAGAGTTATAAACTCTGCTGGAGGAGGTACAGCCAACTTCATTTGAATTAAAATGTAGTCTTCCTTACAAGTGCCTGTAAATACATTTTATAATAGACTTATGTTGGCTTTTGGCTATAACACATCCTACCCACTCCCTTTCCACTGGCCCCCATATCTTTTTGTAGGAGGACTCCCATAACAGAGACAACTTTTTGTCCATAGCAGATTTGGACTCACTCTTGCAGAGTGTAGAATAATTGATTGGAAGCATCTGCCTACCAGAAATTACATTTCTCATGCCTCCTACATGTAGTGGAGGTCATAGGACTGGTTCTTACCAATGGGATGGGAGCAATAGTGATGTACATCTTGTCTAGATTAAGAAGCTTAAATAGTGGATGTAACTTCATTGTCTTTATCTATCCTCCAGCTGAATGCAAAGGACTCCAAGGCTCAAAAGGTGGGTGGAACCACAATATGGAAGGAGCCAGGGTCATAAGTAATATTGTGGAAGGTTTGCTGCCAACCAGGGATATTTGTGTTGGACAAGTATATGCCTAAGGAATACATTTGAATTGTGTTAAGCCATTAACCTTGGGGTTTGTTAGTTACAGTCATTAGTATTGCCTTAATTAACACATCCTCACTGTGTATGTTCTTAGTAGGGGAAATAGCCATTTTAGTCTCCTGGTGATACTCCCATTATGGAAGGCAAAGAGGTCCAGTTCCCCTTTCTATCTGTGCCCTGGTAAAGCCAAGAGTTAAAATAGTCACTTATACATTTGCTCCCAGTATACTGAATCTTAAACAAGGGGCACAAAGATGTAGGCAAAGTTCAGAATTAGATATATAGCAGTGGTAGAAGAAACTTGAGAAAAAATACTGTGCCTGTGGCCACTGGGCTTTGGCTATGGTTTCGCTACTTCAGTAGCACCCTTGGGTCTGCTGGTTGTTCAAGCCTTCTCCTACAGATTCTCATTACTTCTGTTAGCCTGATAATTAATTCCCTCATTTGCTTAAGATAATCAGAGTTTTACTCTTGCTTGCAATCATATGGTGGTGGGTTAATTTTAATTTTTTTAAATCCTCACCTAAGGATATTTTTCCATTTACCTTCAGATAGAGTGGGAGGGAGGGAGGGAGAGAATGAGAGAGAAAAAAACATTGATATGAGAGAGACACATCGATTGGTTGCCTCCCTCATGACCCTGACCAGGGCCAGGGACCGAACTGCTCCTGAGGTATGTGCCCTTGACTGGAATTGAACCTGCAACTCTTTGGTCCATGGGCTGATGCCCACTGAGCCAAACTGGCTAGGGCTTAATTTTTTTCTTTTTATTGATTTTAGAGAGGGAGGAAGGAAGAGGGAGAGAGAGATAGAAACATTGATGAGAGAGACCATCAATTGGCCGCCTCCTGCATGCCCTGCACTAGGGATTGGGCCCACAACCTGGGCATGTGTCCTGACTGGGAATCGAACCAGTGACCTCTTGGTGCATGGGTCGATGCTCAACTACTGAGCCACACCGGTCGGGCTAGGGCTTAATTTTTGTTTAGAGAAGCGGCTCATCTCAAACTCATGCATTTCTTTTTTTTTTTAACTTTTATAAGTGAAGTCTCCTCATTACAAAATTCTGTGTTTATCTCGGCATTTGACTCTGCTTTACCATCTCAGATTCATGATCTAATAGCAGTTGACACTTGGCACCACTCAGTTTCCTCCTTTTGTTGACTGCCTGTCCAGAAAATCAAGTAGGTATTTATTTTTTCCTTTTGTTGATGGTTTCTCTCTCCTAGCTTTCAGCAGTTATTTTCCTTACTTGCCTCACTTACAGATTGTCCTTACCTAGGCATTTCTACTTGTTAACCATTTCTAGCATTAAGTTGTGCCATCCGATTAGCAATCTGTAACATTTTTCTGGTGGGGGAAGTGCACAGTTGGTTGAAGAAGCACTGGATTTGTTTTCCCAGAGACCTGCTTCTGTTGCTTACAAGATATGTGCCCTTGGGAAAATCACTGAACTTGTCTCTCCCTGAGATTTGTTTTGCTAAGTACTTAGAGTGAGAGAATACATGAAAGTCTCAGGGTCAGTTACAATGACAGCAGTTAATTAAAGGCCACTTGGCTAGAGACATACAGTTGGAGGGAATGTAGGAAAGTATGAAGGTAGGAAATCCACAGCTTGGCCTGGAAAGTCAGGCTGTTAGAGCTAGGAAGCAGGGAAGAACTGTTCACCTAGACTGCCATCAGCTGATGGGAAGGAACCACCCAGTCACAGTTTCTTTTGCAGCCAGCTTTATACTTTTGGTTTGTCCTCAAATACAGTCTTTGAAGAGACTCCAAACAGAGAAGTGGCTCTGCCTCAGCACTTATTCAGTCCTCATACATTGTGGCCACAAGACAAATTTGACACCCTCACAGAATCTTTTACATTATTCAAAGAGCAATTCTTGCATAACCTCTGATCAGCCATTTATACTGGCGACTGAACTGCATTAGAAATTCTACCTCCACCTCCCAAGGACTATATACTAGGAATCAGATTTGGTAACCTCCAACACTGGGCCTCAATTTCCTTGTCAGTAAAATGGGGTGGCTCAACTGTTGCTCCCAGAGTCCCCTCTCTAGTCCCAGCCTGCTGTGATGCTGTAATATGATCTTGTGATGCCTCCCCCAAGTGTCTGCTTAGCTTCTGGATCCAGTTAACTTTCCTTTCCAAAAGCAAAGTTTTCTCTTGTTGAAAACCTCCTCCCTCTCCCTTTGCTGGGTGTAGCTTGTTGTCATGGAAACTTGCATCCAGAACTAGGAAGTCTACACTAAATCCAGCCAAATGGACTCATCTGTGGCTACAGAAGGTCAGGACAGAGTATTTCTCTAAATCTGGTGATTCAGTAATAGAAAACAAATATTAGCTATTCTGATAACTTTTCACAAAATTTTCTTTTTCTTTGAGGTCATTTGACAAAATAAGATAAAACTGGGGACAATTTAGTTCAATTTTCTCACATTTAAAAATATTTCTTACTGATAGATGCATTTATCTTAGGCTATCTTTTGACTTGGAAAAAGTATCTTCTCTTCTAAAACATATTGTGAATGTTCAAACTTAAGCCAAAAAAAGGCAGGAAAAAGAAGCTTAAATAACTAGTAATATTCAGATAACAATAATCAAATTTTATTTGATAACACTCAAATAAATATTCTAAACAATATGCCCCCCAGTACACCTACATACATGCAACTACACACACACACACACACACAGGTACACCCTTAGTTACCTTTCCATATAATCAGATGAAACTTGAAGAAAAGATTAATGTCCCCCACAGAGTTTGGAAAATGCTAGACTAAGTATGCCTTTTTGATCGTTCTACAGAAGTCCAAGGCCAAATAGAGAAACAGTTAGTAAAGGACAATGTGGTACCATGGGGAGGTATAAGGTTATTGGAATGCTGAGCAAGGCAAATTCATTTCAAATGGAGCCTAGGAAAATAAGGAGGTTTAGAGTGTAGGAATCCCAGCCTTTTAGGTGCCACCATGAAATATTAAGAGCAGCCAGGGCCCCCAGGATGCAGGCAGGCTCTTCGTCTGAGGCTTGGAATAAAAGGCGTGTTGCCAACTGAGACAAAGCAGGAAGGATCCATACACACAAGAGACTGTGGCTGGGCTGTCAGGCTGTATTTGTGTCTGCCTGAGCTGTTCTGAAAAGGTCCTCCTTTCCTGAATCACTGAGAACCCCCTAGACAATAGAGAGATGGAGTGGTGACGCTCTCTGTGCTAAGCAACAGATTGGAAACATGGGAATGGGAGCTTTTATCTTGGCTCTGTTACTGATAACTACCACTGAACCCAACCCTAATGGCTTCATCTTCCTCAGCTACTGTGGGGAGGGGGATGATGAAGAGTCTGGGCCATCCCATGGAGATGGTTCAAGACAAGGAGTCACCACTGCAACTTACCTGCTCTCCCCTCCTCAACCAAGTCACCTACACTGAAACTATAGTGATCCTCTCAAAATACAGGTTAAATTGTGTCACTCTTCTAGTCAAAACACTTTAATGGCTTCCCAATGTTCTTACTATGATCTATGAGGCCCTATATAATCTGTCCACAATCCTATTCCTTCTCTAACCCCATCTCCAATCCTCTTCCCCTCTTCTACTTTGCTTCAGCCATATTGGTCTTTTTAAAAAAATATATTTTTTCTTTATTGATTTTAGAGAGAGAGGAAGGAAGAGGGAGAGAGATAGAAATATCAATGAAAGAGAACATTGATTGGCCACCTCCTGCATGCCCCCCACAGGGGACTGGGCCCACAACCTGGGCATGTGCCCTGAACAGGAATCGAACTGGTGACCTCTTGGTGCATGGGTCCATGCTCAACCACTGAGCCACACCAGCTGGGCCACATTGGCCTTCTTGCTTGAACATGTCGTTTCTATTTACACCTCGGAATTTCTGTACTTGCTGTTCCCTCTGCCTGAAATGATCTTTCACCAAGTACCTGCATTACATGTTATTTCACCTCCTTCAGATCTCTTCTCACATGCTGTCTTTCCAGTGAGGCCTCCTCTGTGTTAGTCAGCTATTGCCAAAATTAGGCTGCATAATAAACCATTCCCAGATTCAGTGACTTACAACAAGCATTTATTTCCATACTCATTGGTTCTAATGATACTTGATTGGTTTAGGATGGGTTTAGTTTGTCAGCTCTGCTTTAGGCTGCAGGTTGGGTTCAGGTCTGCTCTGTGTGTGCTTGTGTTGAGGCCCAGACTAAAGAAGCAATGGCTGCCTAGGGCATGCTCCTCTCATGATATAGCATCAGGGTACAAGATCCAAGCCAAATTATATAAGCATTTCAAAATCTCTTCTGGCATCAGAGTCCATAAACATTCTATTGGTCAAAGGAAATCACATGACCAAGCGTAACATTGAGTTAGGAAATATCTTTGCCCACACTGGGAAGGGGAAGAGAGAGAATATTTGCTGAACAGTTATCCAAACTATCACACACATGCACACACACCCATCCCCAACCCCTGCCAACACTCTCTATCTCACTTCCCATGCCTTTTCTCTTTAGGACTTATCATCACCCTACATTTGACATATTTTACTTTCCTACTTTGTTTATTGTCTGTCTCATTGGCTAAAATTGAGGCTCTTTAAGAGCATGGAGTTTTGTTTGTTTTATTCACTGCTGTATCATCAGTACCTTAAACAATATTTGGAACATAGTGGATGCTGAATAAGTACTTTAAGAGTGACAGAATAAATAAGTCCACCTGGTAATGTGATGACTCATTGAAGGAAGTTCAGAAATGAATGATCAGATATTGCACCTTCTGAATAGGGACATAATCTCTGTAAAGGACTGGTCTTATCATTATTTACTATATATACACCATATTACTACCACTACTACCATCATCAACACCATTGCTACCATTACCACT